ATGTGGGCATTGTGGGTCGTGGCTGATGTGGGCATTGTGGGTCGTGGCTGATGTGGGCATTGTGGGTCGTGGCTGATGTGGGCATTGTGGGTCGTGGGTGATGTGGGTCGTGGGTGATGTGAGTTGTGGTCGTCATGGATGTTTTGGGTTGCATGGGTCAAGTGGTCACGTATGGAGGTCATCATGGGATGTAGTCGTCGTGGTCATTGTGATGTTTGTTGGTCAAATGTTCCAGGTCTTCGCTGGTGGAATTTGCTATCATAGGTCGAGGTTATCATGGTGAAGTTGTTATGGTTATCATGGTGAAGTTGTTATGGTTACCATGGTGAAGTTGTTATGGTTATCATGGTGAAGTTGTTATGGTTACCATGGTGAAGTTGTTATGGTTACCATGGTGAAGTTGTTATGGTTATCATAGTGAAGTTGTTATGGTTACCATGGTGAAGTTGTTATGGTTATCATGGTGAAGTTGTTATAGTTATCATGGTGAAGTTGTTATGGTTATCATGGGTTGAAGTTGTTATGGTTATCATGGTGAAGTTGTTATGGTTATCATGGTGAAGTTGTTATGGTTATCATGGGTTGAAGTTGTTATGGTTATCATGGGTTGAAGTCGTTTTGGTCATTGTGATTTGAGGTTGTCATGGTCAGTTTTCGTGGGTCAAGGTTGTTGATGCTGTCATGGTCGCCGTAGGTCGGAGGTCATTGTGGGTTAAAGTCTTCGTTAGTCAAAGTCATCGTGTTTTTTTGTGGGTTGTTGTGGATAGAAATTGTGGTGGTCGTCATAGGTTGAGGTTGTCGTGGTTTGTTTGGGTCAAAGTTGTCGTGGTGTGCGTGTGTCAAAGTTGTCGTGGTTTGAAGTCATTGTGGTTTGTGTGGGTCAAAGTTGTCGTGGTTTGAAGTCATTGTGGTTTGTGTGGGTCTAAGTTGTCGTGGTTTGTGTGGTTCAAAGTTGTCGTGGTTTGCGTGTGTCAAAGTTGTCGTGGTTTGAAGTCATTGTGGTTTGTGTGGGTTAAAAAAAACAGGGCACTGCACAGTGGCGGCCAGCAATGTCATGGTTGTGAAAGTGTTCTGTATTGGTAGTGTGTATTTATGTATGTGTATGTATTTATTTATGTACATATGCATTTATAATTATGAATTTATGTATGTATGTATGTTTGCCACAGTAAATATAGCAAATTGATATGAGATCTTTGTGTAGATAACTGCAGGCACAAGGCGAGTGATGTGTGATGTATTCGACTTCCTGAACCAAAATTAGTTTGGTTTCAAATGTGAGTCGTTGAATCCGATCTTGGTTATATTTCTGTATCCATTGAATATGTGATATTATAAAACTGATTTCAATGAATGTTTGAAAAACAGGGGAATCTCTCTCCTTATGTTAAGGCGGAGTTCCACTGTACTATGTTGACAAATAAAAGGAAATGAATGCTTGTCGTTGTTTGTCGTTGCTTGTCGTTGTTTGTCGTTGTTTGTCGTTTTTATTTAAATGTTGTTTTTTATATGCTGTTCTTCCGCCCTCGTCAACACAATTTAATGAAATCATTTAGGAGGCGGGCTGTCGACCCTGTCTGTCACTGTCGCGCCAACTTTGTTGTGGTCTGCTCCTTCCTTGTCAATAAAAATGGTGAAATAGCATAGGTTTTACGCCTCTATCAACACTGTTAGGTCAATT